ATATATAAGTTATTAAAGTGTAATATATAACATGGAAAGAAATTTATATACACCATTATTTTTATCACAATAAACCCACAGCTTTCAAATTTGTTAGTCTTTATTATTATATTATTATATATATATATTATTCTTATATTTAGCAAAGGAACTAGATTAGTAAAAATGATAACTTATATAGGTTACGTCCCTTTCGGGGATCCTTCTAGTCTGCATATAAAGAACGCTAATTCATAGCTTTACAACGTTCCATTACTTCAATTCAAGTGGACTTTGCGCACGAGGCCGCCACTCCAAGAAGATTAGGTTTTGGTGTATAAGGTTGCCACTCCAACCTAACCTAACCTAACCTAGGTTAAGTTAAATTAATCTGACTTGCTATAAGTTACGCATCAACCTATTGTTCTCTAATAATACCAAATAGATCTTAACTTCCATGTAGATTTTTTAGTAAACGTTTTTATGATTTCAAGTGCTTAAAGCTCATTTTCTGAGACAGACCGATCAAAATATATTTAAAGATCTTTTATAATGTGTTTTTAAATTAGGACGTATTGGAGTTTTAACGCAAATGTTGTTTTTAAATTGAGATGTAATGTAAGGTGAGTAGTTATTATGCGTAGGACTGTGGATAGTGACAGCGAAAATGAAATGCTGCTATAATAGGCATCATAGAGAGAGATCCCATAATTGAGTCTAAATATGTATGCATATAATATATATAAAATCTCTTGAAATAATGTGCGTACGATTGTGGGTAGTGATGGCGAAAGTAATGCTCAGTTATAATAGACATCATATTGGAGATCTATTAGATTTCTTAGATAATTCAAATAAATAATATTAAATATGCTCTATATATATATATCTATATATATGTTTAATATGTTCAAGATTCTTTAAATTTATAATTATATGACATTTAAAATAGTACTTTTTTGCATATTCTGTATCTGTATTATATTTCAATAGTATACACATAATATAATGATAATGAGAATGGATTAGTTAAAAAGCTTAAGTAAGCAAAAATATTGCATATAAAAAACAAATAGCGGAAATCTAAAAATGCTCAATTGTATGTTTCGTTATATTTTTATCATATATGTATATAAATATATTATATTGCAAATTCCACGCTGACTGCTGATATAATTTCATGTATATGTATTTGTTGGTCGGTCGTATCTTTTGCGAACGACAACAACCAATGTGAATACTAAAAAATAAAAGAAAATCTCCAACGTTACAACAACCATAGTATAATATAGTATAACCACTCGAATGGTCTGAGCGATATCAGCACTGCTAACGAGTAATCTATTTTATTTTTCATTTCATAATGATAACGTGCAAATATTTGCAGTTTTTATTAAATAAATGAGAACTTCTAGAATATCAGACGGGAAGGGTGCAGACAGTGTGGCTGATTGTGAGCAACAAGTGTGCTGGTACTTTTTGCTGAATATTATTTTTAATTCAATTTTTTTTAAATTGTCATATAACGACTGATATGATTAAAAAATTCGAAAAAAATGAAAGTTTGCAATTGGATTCCCCCCAATTATTTGTCGCCATCGTAAGTGAGTCAGATTGAAGTTCATATAGAAATTATCAAAAACGATACACAATCAGTGCTTATAAACAGAGTTAAATTATTGATAGAAATTATGGCTTTTTGTTTTCAAAATTTAATTAATATAAATTTAAAAAAAAGTAATTAAAAAATATTGATTTTAAAAATTTTTTATAAATGTATTCCTAAAAAAGAAATATTCACACAGAAAAAAAGTGATCTCAACTAAAAAGTTGTATTATTTATACACTTCGTAACATTCTTAATTAATTATTGTATTCTAAACAATAAGTCATTATGCTGTTATTATATATGAATGAAACTTTATCAAAAATATTCTTGCATTTTTTTTCTGAGTGTAGCAATCACAATACTCTATCTCTAAGACAAAAAATTAATGTCAATTTCGTTTGGCAAATCTAGATTTGCACTCTATCTGTCACTTTTTGCTCGAATTGTTTTGTCCAAACGAACATGTTTAGAGTAATTCCAATTATTTTATTTTAATTAATTATTTTATTCATATATAGCTTATTTTGTTATATTATTTTAATTTGAATCTTAGCTCTTAATCTACAAGTAAACATGATATTTGACATGCCAAATACATTTCAACTGTCAAATAATATATATGAGCTATATAATTTGAGGGTAATTTTATTAATCTAAATAGCGAAAGCATTATAACTTAATCTCAAGTATTATACATTTTGCCTAAGATTGATCAATCGAAAATTTAAACTGTACTAAAACTGAATCTTAAATAAAAAAGTTACCCTAACTTTGCTAATCGAAAACAATATAAGTTGAAGACCTAGTAGAATTTTCAGAACACGTATTTTAACGATTATTGCTCTGACATTTTCTAGTGTCAGCAAGTAGTTTTAGTAATGTAAACACTTAATTTGAGTTGTGCAGTAGTCTCTAATTGAAAACCGCTAGTTTCGTATTGCAAAGATATTTTTACTTTCTTATGCGTACTAAAACTGTATTTTTCAGTAATTTATTTAAATTATGATTAAGTATAGAAAATGTACTCACATTAATTTATAAAATCAAAATATTATTATTAGAAAAGATAATACCACAGAGAGCTTAGAGCTGTTGTACATTTGTTTGAGTTTTTAATTTAGTGGCCAATATCGAACACTTAAGGGTTCCTTACACTAAAGACTAAACTAGTCATGCCGTAAAAAATCGGTTTTATAGATTGAGTAAGACATATATAAACGAATATATAAAATGCTTTAAGATCTGTGGGGTTTCTTACACTAAACACTAAATTAGTCATGTCGTGAAAAATCAGCTAACACACTTTACCTTATAAAACATAATGCATTCGATTATTCATGCCGTAAGAAAAATAGGTGGAAAAATGGGAACTAATTAAATTTTGATTTCCGTCATTAGCGTAAGGAAAATCTTATATCAGCTCATATAAAAATTGAAAAATTGCATTGGATTTCTTTGTATGCAAACTATTTGGTGATCGGATTGAACTTATTTTGTTTTTGTTACTATGCTATTTTGCTTAGTATGTGCTCTGTTATAACCAATCACTTCTCTGATCAGTCTGATCTCTGAATAATCGCTGCCATAGCTTTAAGTGTGCATTGTAGAAATGAACCTAAATCTTTCAATTAATTAACATTAGCATATTTCTTTTAAATTTAGAAACATGAATTTGTTACAATTTATAAAAACTTTATTTAAAATAAATAATAGAATTGTATTATTTGATTAATATTTTATATTTGATAAAACAATATACTGAATATAACTTGCTGTATTAAAAATTTACAACGTAGTATAATTTTTAGCATCTTAATTTTGCTGATATTCTACTTCATGCGCTGTACGCGCTGTAAGTTCTGAATATTTAGCGGTCTTATCTTACTTTACTACTCTACTTCATACACTGTACACTCCACAAATTCTCCGTACTTTGCTGTGTACTATCTGTCTTTACTATTATTTTGCCTTTTGCTTTAATATAGAACAGAAGCAGTTCGGGTAAAAACAGAACCATATGGAAGCATGCAATATGCATTTTATTGCTACAATTTCAATAGAACATATGCATTGAATAAGTTAAAAAAAGTCACTACATTGAAGTACTATACAGTGTACACTAAACACTACGTTTTTGCTATTCGTAATTGAACACTACAGAATCGTGTTTAGTAATAAAATTTTGTATTAAACATGCATCTTTTATAAAAATTCATTAATGTTTCATTAATTCATTACATCATTAATGATAATTATTTATAATACGAGTAATTATTATATAAATTACTACTAATTTATAGTACTTATTAATAGTTAATAATTAAGCCTATAATCTCAGTTAATATGGTGTTAAAAAGATATATAGAAATTATGAACTCATACTCATTTTAGTATTTAAATAAATCAATTTAACATATAACAATGTCTATTTGATTCACCTCTTCTTTTTGATTTGTCCACAGATCTTAAAGCAATATTACATATTCGTTTATATATGCCTTACTCACTCTATAAAACTGTGCATACAAAAAGTATTCAAAGGTCAAGTACATTTCAATTTAATTTTATCAAAGCAGAAACTGTCGGAATAGACACTAAAAACACAACGACCCATAAAATGAATATTAAAATAACTTAAAAATGTGTATGATGTGATGATGATTGCTCTGATGTCAACATGGAAGATAAAGCTATGATGAAGATATGATAAAAAAACACAAAAATAAATTATTTTAAAATAATTTTGTCATAGTTCTATTTTATGAAATTTATAATTATCTATTAACTATTTATACTATGTGAACTTAATTAGGTTCGTCTGTATGAGCACTTCATCTAATTTACCGACTTGAATTTAAAAAAAAAAAAAGAAAATACTTTCTTTCAAGAATCCAGAATTATACCTTTTTGATTGAAAAATAAATAAATTTTTGTGTGTTTTTTTGTTAGCATTCTCAAATGTCATCTTTGGAATAGAGCAACTAACAAGATCATGTCTTGTTACCTTCGGTCTTTATACCTTTTCTGAAGTCTTCTTGACCTACCATATAAACAAGGCTGAACTCGGCTTTGATGTACAAGCCTGCCTCATCAACATTAACCTAATCTATATCTACAATAAGATATAGAACATATATAAGCGTACATATGTCAACTTTAAATCGAATCTCTATTAACGAAAAATCAAACTAATTATCAAACGTGTATAGTCCAGATGCATTTACATGATTTGAAATGCAAGTTTATTTAATGCTATATCCATGTGCAGTTTAACGACTGGAAATAAAATAATTTGTTGCCGCTCTTTTTCGATAATATTTTAAATTTTGATAATATTTTAAATATTTTGAATTTTTAAGTAGTTATAATACATTTATATTTAAAATTAAAATTTTTTTTACTTTTTTTATAGATAATTCCAGTGCTGCATTAGAGCAACAAAATCAGGAAGATCTCAGCAATATGAAGGCTGCAGCAACAGCCAAGCACTACAATAAAACTAAATTGCAGAATAATCATCGATCGGTAGAACGAAAGAGCACAAATGCAACAAGTTCGAATACTAATAGTCCCACAACATATAATAAAAAACACAATAGCAACAACAACACAAAGAACAATAATGCAAATTTGCAAATATATAATTCAGCATTTGGCGAAACACACGGTGGCGGCAGTAAAGTTGCTGATAATGTAAAAAACTCAAAATTAGCAAAGTCAACAAAAAATTTACCAGCTACTTCGACGGAAACGGCGATTGCGACGACGTCAGATAAAGATAGTTTTGATCAATTAGCAATTAGCAATGTTAAGGATGCCAAACTAGAAAATAAAAGAAATACACATGAAGAGCAAAAGACTGGGACAAATGAAACAAGTACGAGTTCTAGCAGAAATAATAATTTAAACAATATTAATAATAATAACAGCAACAACAACAACAGTAACAGTGATAATAATTTAAGTAAAAACAATAGTAATTTAAGTGTTAGCGATATTACTAGCAATAAACAATATAATAAGAGCAACACCATCAACAATAGTATGTTGCAAACCACAAATCAAAATAATAGTGAGACCACAATTGGAGGAGCAGCAACATCATCGACGTCATCATCGCCAAAAGTGACTGTAATTTCTTGGAATAATTCTAAATATTTGCACAAAAAATTTAAACGTCTGGCGAGTACAACTGAAGTCGATGGCATAGCTGCTGAAGAGCAAAATGCTAATTTGGTCGATTGTGTCAATGGAAAAGCAGATGAAAAGCTACGATCAACATCGTCTTCCTCGTCGGTAAGTTCAGCATCTTCACCGCCACCCCAAACTGTACCCTTACAAAATGCTATTGTCGAAGTACAAAAAAATATCGAAAATACTATTCCGAATGGTATTATCGGTTCAGTTCGTAAAGAGCCATTAGTTAATGCAGAAACAAAATTTATAAAACAGAGTGCCAATATAAACCCTAAAACAGATGTACTACAGGAACAACTAAAACAGCACCAACAAGAGTATAAAACAAATATAACTAACCAGAATAGCAATCCTCCAGCAATGGCAACAGTAGATAATATTACTACATATAATAATATAAATCATAGTAATGCTAATATAGTTCCAAGAACAGTTAGCAATTCAAATGTTAATAACCACAATGTAAGTCAGTCGAACGTAAGTCCTGTGGAAATGGAATGGAGTAATAGTTCCGTAGTATCTGTAGCTGAGCAAAATAATAGCACTGGTCGTTATGTTTGTCAATATTGTAACTTGAATTGTACAAAACCATCTGTGCTACAAAAGCATATACGTGCCCATACAAATGAGAGACCATATCCTTGTGAGATTTGTGGAATAGCTTTTAAAACAAAAAGCAATTATTATAAACATTGCAGGTAAATAGTCATAAATACATAAATATAATAATTGTACTAAGAATTTTCTTGATAAATATACATATATAATTATAGATCTCGCACCCATGCAGCTAGAAAACGTGGTATCGAGATTCCTGTCGATGTTGATGATAGTACTTTTGCGGGAGGATCCGATCAAGAAATAGATGCAGAATTAAGTAACAGCAGTTCGGATGTGGTCAGTTTAAATATATTGTACCAGTATTTTATTGCAAATATTGGTATATCACATATATGTAAACAATACAGATTTGATTTACATTATTTAAAGCAGTCTAAACAGTTTCCAAGTACTTTAATTTAAATAATCTTCAGATTAACGTTGTTCTCATGGTGATTACTTTGAGTTTTATATCTTTTTGTAGCTTTTATGGCCTAACGAATAAACAAAGCTATTCATCATATTACAATGGACCATAATTTGTATTGCAGTGGGCTTTGAAGCACAAAGAGCACTTCAACCTAATCTAACCTATCTCTAGATTAGATATTTTTCAGTTTGAATATATTCTATTAACAAAATATTTATTTGCTTTGAAATGCGAATTCATTTTCAAACATATTTTTTTAACAATAATTTGATGAATCTTTTTTCAATGATACTTTTTTCAAACTTGAGCAAAAGAAAAGAAAAGTAAACTTTATTTAAATTAGATATGAGATATTTATTCTTCGTACGCCCTAACTATAACTTTACCTCCCACGATGTCGCCCATATATTTTCATGACCCAATGCATACATCAACTTGAGTCCAATTGATCTTTTGCTTCGTCCGATTGAAGTGGCTAGGTTTTTCAGCCTTGACCCAGGTTGTCTTTAATTAAGATCCAATCCACCCCCAATCCATTGTTATTCCTGAACAATCTCGTCTTTCACACTACCATTACGTACCCACTGCTTAATATAATAGATCTCTGCGGGTTACAATAACAACGTGAAAATCGTATTTTTTCGCTTATATAAAATAATAAAAATAACAAAAAATGGATTAGCCTTACTGTTTCATTTTTAAGATAATTATTAAAAACAATGAGATTATAAAAATAAATTTTAATATTTTTATGTACTTTTAGTTAAGTCGAACAGCTTCACCAATTGATGAACGTAGTACTTCATCGCCGGCGCTGTTAAACCAACACCAACAAATCCATCAAAATTATCATCTACATCAAGTAGAAGAAAATATCTCACAGAGAAATGTAGTGACATCTTTACCAACACCTTCGCCATCATCAATTTCATCTTCAAAAAGTGCGTATTTGCAACAACCAATGCAAATACAACCAACACAACCATTGCCATTAGGTTCACCTGCAGCTGGTACACTGCCACCATTGACTGTAACAATTACAGGAAATACAGCTATGATTTCGAGCAGCGGCCAAAAGAATTCATTCGATTATAAGCCATATAAACCAAAATTTCACAACGCTTCTCTGTATGCCTCATCAAAGGACGGTGCTAGTCATCAACAGCAACAACAGCAGCATCAAAACCAACATCAACTTGTAGATCAACCAAAAATAGTTGAAAATACTTCTAAAATGTCACAAAATACACAAATACATCAACAGCAACTGCAGCAACAGCAATCACAATCGCAACAGCATCATCCTTCATTATCTCCGAGTACACAGATCAAATTAAATAATCATATCAATTCACATCAAATGCAATTGCACTTACAACAACAACAGCAACATGCCGTCCTACCAATCTCATCAAATGCGGCCGCAATTTATTTTTTAGGACAGCAGCAGCCTCCGCCACCACCAACAGGCAACTTATCTCAACAATACTTTAATGCAGCTGCTGTTGTACATCAGCAGGCGTTAGCACAGTTTCATATGCTTACACCACAGCAACAACAACAATATCATCACCAACTGCAAATACAACAACAATTTCATCCTGCTGCACCATTGTTAAAGACATCTGCATCAACCTCCCATCAAAGAATCAATCATCAAACAATTGCGCCTATACCAATTACTCCTGCACCTGTTGCACCAATATCGTTACCACCACACCAAAATCCACTACACTATATAGCTAATACAACTTCAAATACAAATTTGTCCGCAACAAATAATACAAACAATAATAATATTAGCAATAGCAGCGTTGCTACTACTCAATCCATGTCAACAACACCAACTACAGGTTTATTGCAAAGCAACAAATCTAGTGTGACCACTGCCACATCTACTGGACTTATGCCTTTGGTAAGTACTTACTTCTATTATATTATGTTCTATACATCCATTAAAACAATATTTTACTTTTTTAATTTTAACAACAGGATAAGGAATTTCTGCAAGAGCATATTTCCAAACTGATTTCACAAAACGAGGCTATTGTTGAAAACAAAGAACTTTTATTACAAAAAAAATACCCGAAAACATTGAATCGTTCCCGCAGTTTTAATAACACTAATAACAGTGCGTCTAGTTCCAGCACTATGCACAATAATAACTATAGTGCAGGCACCAATGGTTTAATTAATACAACATCAGTTGCTAGCGAAAGTACAAATGCAAAAATTGCTCAAGCAATTGTGCAAAAGCAACAACAACAGTTACAACATCAATTACAACAACAACAACAGCTTCAACAACAACAACATCATCATCAGCAGCCACAATATCATCAGGTTCCACATCAGACTTTAGCACATCCGGTTAATCAATTACGATCAGAAGAGATGCTTCAAAGCAGTGGCCCACTGAATGGTATATCGAAGCACATAACCAATACAAAACCACCAACAGCATTAAATATATTACCACAGCAACAGCATCAACCACAACCTCAACCACAGCAAAATGCTCAATATAGAACTGCCCATCATGTTCCACAATCTTTACAAACTCAAGCTCAACATATGCTTAAGGAAGTTATTTCAATTTCCAGTGGCAATATTCCATTAAATTTATCTGCTAAGCCTAAAATAAACGAGGAAGCGCCGTCAACTTCACCATCATTAGGCATAAACAATAATACTACTATACAAGCTACGAACAATTTTGCACCACGTAAGCGTCAATCAATTGAACACCAGGTCTCAGCCCTATCTTGCGAGACTTCATCAAGTAGCTCTAGTGGTAGTATCAATATTAAAAATCCACCAAATAATTCCATAATAAAGAATTTGCTTTTAAACGCACGGGGACTTGCGGTGCCAACAGGCGAAGGTGAAGACGCTGTTTATGTATGTCCTCTCTGCTCCTTAGAATTTCGTACTGCAGAGGACTTGCAGTTACATAACAGTAGTTACTGTCAAGGTGCATCATCAAGTGCTCCAATTAGTCCAGTAGCCTCACCTTCTTATAAATATTTTCGTTCAAACTCTATTTCTTTAAATATACCTGAACTTAAGGACTCCTTTCGACGAGAACTATCAAAAAATCCACTGTCGTTAGTGAAATTAGCTTGGTCACAGTTAAAAACTAAACCAAGTTCTTTAGTACTAAGTCGCTTGAGTGCCTCTCAGGCTGGCAGCTCCAAGGTAACAGCATCCAGTACAGCAACATCAACTTTACCAGTTACCTTAAATAACAGTAGCAATACTGCTTCCACATCTGCGGCTACAGCATCAACTGGTGCTGACAATTCGCTTATATTAGTTGATGCTCCGCTTCCATCGCCAGGACCACTTCTAGGCAAAACACCTTTGGTTGATTCATATAATAACAGCAATGAAGACCGTAAATCAAAAGATGTTATTATAACGAAAATGCATGAAGATCGTCAATTTTCAAATATAAGTTCAGAACACTTAGCAAATAAGAGACCAAAATATGAGGCTGGCCTTTGTGAAAATTTATCTATTTCTCCATCAAAACGTGTAAGCACTAACAAGTCTATAACTGGAGAAACATCATTACACAATCTTGCTGGTTCTAATGATTTGCCATTTTATAATAAAAAAGAAGAACGCTTAAAACGATTCACATCTTCAGGTGGTTCCATGATACCAATATCAGAATGCCAAGAGTATGAAAAAAGTCCAAAAATGATACGAACACCATTATTATCGGGTGGTAGTTTTCAAGAAGTTTCACCAAAAGTCAAAGATAATGACACTAAAAATATATTATCTCTAAATCCTCCAGTATCCAAACTTAATTCATCAAACATGAATTTATCAAATGGTCCTCAACATTTTCAATTTCCGCCTATTAACTCTATTACAGCATTTAATCCTTTAACATTGCCAATACAAAGTAGCATGGAAAAAATTATACCATATGTACCAGGAATACCTGGACCGAATAATTTGATGACACCTCAACTGCCACCATCTCAAAACTTGCAAATACCAAATCAACATCTAACATCAACTAGCCGAACGTTGTCACCAAATCACAAAAAATCATCAAGTCCAATGCCAACTGCCAATGATACTGCAAATAAATTGTTAATTCCTTCAATAACACAAAGTGCAGATTTGAAGCCACTCTCACCTTTTGGAGGAGTACAAAACGTCCCAAGTGAATTTTCACGCATTCCACCTTCACCGGTTTTGCGAAACGTACGCAATTGGTCAGGATTACCACAGGGTTCGAGTCAAACACAAAAGCAAGCAACATTAAACGCCATTGAAACACCTAAGAAAAGCTTTAATTTTTTGCGTATGGCAGATAATCTTAGTCCACGCAAAAATATAAGTGCTGCAGCTGCTTCAACTTCAGTGACAATACCAAAAATAACTGAACATATTGAAAAAGAAGTCCGGCATTTTAATTTTGACAACATCTCGAAGGAAAACAGTGATGTGATTACAAATTCGCAAATAGGTCGTGCAAATCTGACATCAACTTTAACACCGCTTCATGTGGACACTACTGGGCAAAGCCAACCAACAAATCCATCAACTCAAAGTACTTCAGAAACCGATGCTAAGAAATCCAAATTTTTACGCCCCACAACTTTGCCGTTAAAACCTGGTACATTTACACCTAAAAAGCATCACGGTATTACACCCAATGCTAACACTTTACCACTGATTTCACCAGAGACTCCACGACCTTCAAAAGCATTTGTACAACTTTATTTGAATGGACATGCTTATACATATTTGGGTCTTAAAAGTAGTACAAAAACATTTTACTGCACAGTTAATTGTCCACAACCTTCTTATGTAGCTGGAATGCATAAGCTCTCAATGTATAGTGTATGGCAAGTATGTGCTGAAAATAATCCACATCCCCTAGGATTTAAGCCGAAAGTTGTGATGTCCTTATATGATTCACGTCATAAGACAATTGCAAATACAATGGCCGGTGCCAACAATCTTGAATATTCTTCAGTAGTTTCACAACAAACTGTCATGACACCATTTGTGGCGAGTAATCCAGGACAATATTATCATCATCAGATTAAACAGCTAAGCACAACAGGAACCACTTCATCAGAACAATTGAAAATTGAATCTGACGATTTAGCATCAATTAAAAAGGAGGCGAATATTGTAAACTCTGCCGGGGGAACCTCATCAAATGCTTCCAATCAAATGCTTGTTGGTGGTTATGAATCGCACGAAGACTATACGTATATTAGAGGTCGTGGAAGAGGGCGTTATGTTTGCTCTGAATGTGGTATACGTTGTAAAAAGCCTTCAATGCTGAAAAAACATATACGCACCCATACCGATGTAAGGCCTTACACATGTAAACATTGTAATTTTAGGTAAGTTTTTCAATTTCATTTTAAATACATAAATATTGTATGACTAATACCTAAATTTTATATTGTTAAATAGTTTTAAGACAAAGGGAAATCTGACGAAACATATGCAATCAAAAACTCACTTCAAAAAATGTATTGAGTTGGGTATACACCCAGGACCCATGCCAGCTGATAGTGAATTCTCTGAGCCTGATGTAGAATTTGACCAACAGTCCAGTACATCTGCTGGTGGTCGAACATCTTCTATACCAGGTGAATCTGACACCGACGATTCAACTGATAATGAGACCGAAAGCAGTGGTAAGTAAAATAATAGAAATATTTTGTTTTTATATATAATATTTCGTAAATTTAATTATTCTACACAGATACTGATGAATCTAAATCACGTTTACAAGAACAGGAAGCTGCAAGATGTTTACTTTCACTATCTATGACTCCTCCAATTACACAAAGCGTTTCGCCACAACTTAAAAGTGAACATTACAATTTTCAACAAGTTAATACTACTGAAACGATCGCTTCGGCATTCGTAAACCACGCATCCGAACCACCTTTAGCTCAAGTAACTAATATTAAACGAGTTGAGTCATTCACATTACCAAAACCACCTTTCGATTATCAAAAACAAGAAAAATACTATTCGAATCCGGAAGAGTCAAAACCAAAAAATACCACTACAAGTGCTAATTTTGAAAGTGCACCAATTGATTTAACTAAGCCACGTGTTGCCGAATCTACTACATCAATCGGTGCTCCGACACAAACGGCATTTAAGCCAACTGGCTCTTCATATGAAGTACGCGAACTAGTCGCTGCTATGCCCGGTCCCTTACAAACTCAAGCACAGATACGCGACGTAATATTCGGTAATAGTAACAATGAATCTGGTTTTCTTAAAACTCTAATCTTCGCGTCCGACAAAGTACGTACCTCAGCAGAGGTAACGGAAGATTCGAAAAAAATCAACGAAAATATTTTATTGCAAGCTTATATCACTGAACAAGCACTACAGCGTACAAAAATTAAACAAAGTCAAATGAATCGCAGTTTTCCAGATCAATTAAATATGGGAAGTGCTAATCAAAACTGCACTAATACCATAACAGTGGTCAGTAATTCAGGTAGCAACAAACAAGTACTTAGCCCAATCAATAGTTCGCAAGCAGACACCCATTGGACTACTAATATAAATGAAAATAATCTTAAATCAAGTCCTGCTATGCCGATTATGAGTTTAGAACCACTTCCCAACAGTAAAGTTAAAGATATTTCAGCAGATAATACAAGCAGCGAACGATTAACAACGTTTGAAGAAAATAAACAAAAACCTACCGAATTAACTGAATCAAATAAAAACAAATTACCAATTAACACAAACAATAAAACAAATAAAGTAAATGAAGAAACTGAGGATATTGAATTTGCGGTAGATCCGGTTGAATCATTGTCGAAACTTAAACCACCAACCAATAATCAAATTAATCAAATAAGTACCAGTAAGAGTATGAACACACCCAACACTGAACCACAAATTCATAATTCTAATTTACCAGCTGCCGTACAACAGCCTGGTACAACCGATTTTTCAGGGGTACTATCTGCACCAACTCGAACTGTTATAGTTGGAGAAGATGTATTTCCAAAATCTGCAAGCAATGAAATGCAACCACGCGCTTATCCACGCGTACCTATATCGACTGATGGTCGTCCTGTATGTACAATATGTTCCAAAACCTTTCAGAAACAGTCGCAGTTATCACTGCATATGAACATACACTATATTGAACGTAAATTTAAATGCGAACCTTGTGGATTTTCATTTCGTATGCAGGGTCATTTACAGGTAAGAAAAAAATATATATTTCACAGTTCTATAGATTTTAATATTTTTATGCATTCCAGAAACACGAACGTTCAGAGGCACATAAAAATAAAGTTATGATGATTTCGACATTTGGTGTGCCGACTAGTTCAAATCCACGTCCTTTCGAATGTACTGACTGCAAAATCGCTTTTCGTATACATGGGCACTTAGCTAAGCATTTGCGTTCTAAAACCCATGTACAAAAATTAGAATGTTTGCAAAAACTACCATTTGGCACATATGCAGAAATTGAACGTGCTGGCATCAGTTTAACTGAAATTGATACCAGTGATTGTGATAACTCGCTGATATCTCTAAAGCTTTTAGCACAAAAACTTATCGAAAAAGATCCTACAAAATTAAATAACTATACAACGCCGTCTGGTATGCCTAGCTCAGATGCTAATTCAAACACTGGTATTGGTTCACAAGATAGTGCATCCGAAGATGGTTTCAGTGCAGCGGCAAGTGCAGCAGCTTCAGCGATTGCTTCACTTGATAATGATAGCGCAGCAAGTACACCACAACGAACAAACTCAATGTCAGAAGATGAAACAATAGCTGCCAGTTTAAATAATAATCTAAAACGGCGGTTGCCAGGCAGCTTTAGTAATGGTGAAGAGAGCGATAACCCAATTGAAAATGAGAAACGTATCTGCTTGGAAGGACGAAGTGCTGTATCTTCTCCAGCTCCTAACTATACAGCAACAAATACTAATAACTGATATTATGCATATATTCCATACCATGGATCAACAAAAAATATGATGCCCTTGCAGCGACAGAATGATCGACATGCTTCTTATGTGCCAAATAGTTATAACTTTAATTTAATACAAAAACGACAATGAGTTGTGCTATAATCACAGATAGTAGATGAATAATATTTTTTGAATAAAAATAATTAAATCTCATTATGATGCTAAAGATTATTGAAAAACATTTTAGAAAAAAATTGACCAATCAACTTTTTAAACCATATCCAAAATTATGCATATCGACTGTGAAAATAGAGAAATAAAAAACATTTAAGGATATTATAAAAATATCCTTAAAAATAACTGCGTTGTAAGCACTACTCTAGAAGTTATATTCGAAAAAAAAACAAATTTTAAATACTATAAATGAATACTAAAAATATTATAAATGTTATCAGTGTAATTAAAACATTAATTTATATATAATTGCCAATTGAACGAAATAAGTTTTCTCCTTTGTACATAAGTTATATCATAATAGGCCCATTTTTAGGGCCTAAGTAAGCCAGTCTTTCTGCAAGACAGGCTGCAGGCTTGCACCTACCTATCTATATAAGTTATTATATGGTCCACTTACTGGAATAACCTAAGTGAAGACTGTTACAGTTAGCTGTTAGCATCTAATAGACATTAAAAGTCTATGATATATAGATTAATATATAATTAACTAACAAATCTTTGGTATCATTTTGTATTTAATTATTTTATATATAAATTAAAGTAAATACGAAAATGATTCATACAAGTTTATTCTATAAGAAAATAATGTTTTTAGTATGTGTATGTTCTTTTCTAACAAATAATTAAATATTACGATTATCTATTTATATATATATATATTTTAATCAATATTAATACATAAAAATATTACTAAATTTAAATATTTGATCGTAAAACGTGAAGATATAGATATATCTTACTCTCAAATTATACATATGAAAAATAACACAACTTTATGTGCAGATCTTGTTAATATTCAATATCATTTACGCAAAAGCTAAATCCCCTTATAGCTAATCGATATATATATATGCATTTATATATATATCTATAAAAAAAATGAAATTTATTTAATATATTGTAAATTTTAAAAGTAAAATAAAGTGCTGTGAGTCTATTGGCTTAGCCCTTTCCTGTGTCACATACCTTTATCTATATGTACAAGTATTTAATTTCAATTATCTGTACTAAATTATAATAATAATTTAGTTAAAATATATATTACATGTACTAAACTTTAGAAATAAGTATATTTAATTCCATTTGATTATAGTTTTTCAAAAATATGTACATAAACTTTGTAATGCAATATGTTGTATTTGAATTAATTTCAGAGCAGGTCGTTGCACCTTGTATTTTATGTAGCTTTATATGAGATAACTGCGTTATAAAATAATATTAAGTTAAAACTTAGAAAAATCACGCTGCTCTTCCTTATTTCGTTATTGGTTTATTTAACAGGCATATAGTTTCAATTATCTAAATATATATATTTATATATATGATTGTAATTTATAGAAAATATATTTTTGAATGTATGAGTACAATTAAGATTATAATTTTTACCAACGAGACTACGAGACTCTACTTGATATTTCTAAGTGAAAAATAGTTTTAAAAAAAACAAATAAATAGCATATAGTGCGTTAAAAAATCAAAAATATTTAAATTTTTTTACTATGCTCCTATAAGTTTTGATACTTTGATTGGGTTTGCTTATATTTATTCAGATATATATTATATTAATTTTAAAACAGCATTGTGCAAACATTTAAAATAAATCTAAAACATTATATGAAATGTTACAAAATCATAGTAAAGTAAAACAAATATCAATAAAAACTAAAAAACATTTATATAAATATAAGAAAAGATTTATTAAAATTATTCAAATAATATATAATAATATAGTGATAAATATATTGAAGATCAAATAAATTGAATTATACAAATATATTAATATACATATTGTTTTATATTTTATATAAACTGCTGAGCGAACATTATGGCGCAAAAATATTGTCCTTATTAGTTCCTTTGGAAGTACATATATTCCTGTCAATATAAAAATTAATTTAATATCATTCAAATATCATTTTAAAAAAATCACTTAAATAAGATAGAAACACATTAAAGCAACGAGGTTTTTACTCTTGTTTTGCTGAAATGACGGTGGAAGGATCTCTCTTACAAGCGCCAATACCAACGTCATTAATGTTTTTACATTTCAATTGCTTAAATAACGCTCATCATTTTTGAAATGCATTTAGACTTTATGGCGCAATGTTCTCTATTCAACATCATCATCATCCGTGATTATACAGTCCATGTAGAACCTAAGCCTGTTTAACAACAGTCTTACATTCTTCTCTGTTTTTTGCTTTTGTTTTCCAATTTCTTATGTCCTGCTGCACACTGTCTTTCTATCGTTTTGTTGGTCGCCCTCTTCTACTGCTGGTTCCTACTTCGTTCTCATAAATCTTAAGCGGTAGTCTCATATCCGAATGCTCTCTCTCTCTTAGAAGCACGAAGTAGTGATAAATACTGATTAATGACGCTAGCGTTAAGTCTTAGTTCTTACGGTAGGTACCAACTAAGTGAGCCTCTACGCTTATGATGGAATATTTTTTCATTAAGTTTAAATGCCTTCCAAAAATGTAGAGCGTAATTTTTTCAATTTAAGTGTAAAAATCATAAGAGAATCAAATAGATGTTGATGTTAATTAATAGTGTTAAATTAGGAGTAAAAACGACGTGACGTCAATGTGTTCCTACCTTAATTTTTGTATATGTTAGTAAAGTTTATAGGTAAAGCCAGACAAATGAAAACATTATCTTCTATAATATACAATACGTATAAGTATTTAACGATAAGCTCACAGTAAAATTGCAATTGGTTGCTGGTCTAGTTGGCAACTTATTGATAACAAACAATCAAAAAATGTATTAACAAAATTTACATTATTCTGTAAGGACAGTGCAAATAGCAGTAAACGGTTGGAGGGAGATGTGCAATATAGTATAATAAATAGAATGTTTGATAATATATTATGATTAATAGTTTTTGAAAGCAACTATATTAGCAATGGTTTCAAAGACTGTATAAAACATTTTAATACTTTATACTCGTGTATACATAATATTAATAAGTATATGTATAATATAATCAAAAGTATTAGAGACACGTGGATTGATTAGAAAATCCATTGTGCTTATTATATATAGGATCTTTACTTTCAAGGTACAATAAATACAGAAAGTGATTCTAAAAAGAAACCAAAGTTTCAAAGTAAACTTTGGTTCTATCGCGTGGAAGTGGTTAGGTTTCCTCGTCTTTCTCCAGGTTGACTTCAAATAATATTCCAACCCACACTCAATCCATCTAACTCCTAAGTAATCCCCTTCTCTCTTACACTACTATCATCTACCCATATACTAACCCATGTATACGTACTTGTAATTCCTTTCTTGTTAACTGGTTGATAGTAATCCGCGGTTTGTGGTAAACATGTTATAGTAAACTCTACTTAAAAAAATAATATCTAGTCCTAAAAATGAATTTTACAAAAACATCATTCACTTATTTTTACGTCAATAAAATTTTTTTTATTGAATTTGTTATTAATGTTAGTGTATTATGAGAGTCAAAGGTCACATTGTTTTTGAAAAAACTTTTTCTTATCTCAAATGTTGAGTACAATTTAATTTTTTAAATTTGAATTTTTTTTTTGTTTTTTGTTCTAAGGGCCATAACCAATGAAGGAATATTTTACCTATTATTTATCGGTTCCTTAAAATGAACTTGTTGTTGTAGCCCATTAAGATCTACTTAGTAAGAAACATATGTGTAATTAAAATATGAAAATATAGATTAGAATGGGCATGTATATAGATACGGAGAGAAGATTTAAATGGGTCAAATACGCAAAGAGAGAATGGGTGATATATCAAAAAATGTGACCTATTTTAATTGATTAAAATTGGTGGCCAGAAGTACAGAAGAACAGATCTCATGAGAAGTAGCACTGTTGTTGGGGCACAGTGCACTTCGCTATATCCTGATGGACTTGGACAGTTTTTGGATTTGAAACTGCATAAGAAAGGCGTGTTTCTTCCCTAGAATGTTGTTATACAAACGTGTTCGTAAAGAAGATACTAATCCGGTATTTTTTAAAGCTAAACATAATGGTAAAAAAGTTATAATTTTATACTTAATAAAAGTAAGAGTTTTTATAAAAAAAAATTCTTTTCCAAAAACTATACCTAGGACAAAGCATTATAAACTTTTTGAAAAAATTGGTCTTTTGAGTTATTGATGGTTTTGTAACTAAATTAGTTTCTTTTAAAATGGGCTTTTATAAGAAACTAAATGAAATGATTAATATAGTAATTTGACCACTCTCCTTTATATGATTTGTTTTGTTTCTTGGACTAGTAATCATCTTCTGATCTCATGATACCTTATAAGAACGCATCCTATATATTTATTTATTATTCTCTATATACTTGTATAGTATGCAAGTGGTTTATTAGCGTTTTAAATTTGATTATATTTTGAAATTGATATAATATAGTTATCTTCCGTATATAAAAGTTCAAATACAAACAAAACAATGAAAACATTTTTAATTGATTTTGCATTTCTAAGTCTCACCTCTCAATGTATCAATGTATTCCAATTAAACGCAACCATTGCAACCATAAATTATATCATAAATATTTTGATAAGTATGCATTTCAATAGTTCTATATATGTTTTATTATAAATATCTGAAATTTATAATAGAATTAAAGTTGAAATTATAAAACGATGAAACAACTATCACAATTATTGGAGATTACTACAGATAATGTACTTATATGGCTTTCGAATAGAATTAAATACAGTCCCTAGTATATATTTCTAAATTTTAAAGGAATTTATGAGATATTCCCACAAATATTTACCAATAAAAACGCTGCACCAATGATCAAAGCTCTTTCCTTAGCAGTTAATTTGGGATCGGAAAAATAAATGTTTGTAGTAAATTGTGATTTATGTGCTAGCCATTTATGATCAATCGAAGCACGTAAATCGCCACCAGAATGAACCTATAATATTAATTAATAAATATTATAAATAAATACATATTTTTTATATATATAATTACTAGTAATTATATATCACTTATATATCTTGTTGCACTTACTTTAAAAAATGTTTCCTTAGGTAAACAAAAACAGCAAAATCCACTATTATCTGGACCTTCAAGGCAAAATATTGGATTACCAGTTTCGCCATCCTCAATAAAGAACGTTGGAGCTAAAATTGTTGGTGATTGTACAATTTTTCCAAGTAAATTTCCAGGTGGTATCCAAACTTCTAGATTTTTAGGACGACAGCACATAGAGCCCAAAGCAAATTTTTTACGTAAAACCATTGCTTCTTGATGTGTTCTATCTAGTAAATGCATTTGAAATGCTCTTGCGGAACCCCAAAAGAGACGTTGATTTTCTGTAGAACTTTCTGAAGCAGCATATATAGCTTCACCAAGAGGCGTTCGTATAACATAGCGATTTTCAGATGATACCGATGTAAGAGCTGTAGAATATTATTAATATAGATATATATTTAATTGTCTAAACTTTAATTTTTTATGTTAAGAATTAAAAATGAAGATATTATTTACACATAAAATATTTTTAAAAAAATGGTATCATATATCTATCTATATAAACATAATGATTCAATAAAATAAGAAGGGACTCAAAAGCGAATAATCCGTAAATTATATCCCCAATTATAAGTCTATTAAATGCAATATCTTTTAATTTCATATTCAATTAGTCCTTTTACTTAAGTGTGATTAGTTTAATTTTCATATAATTATTTGAAAAAGATAATAAAAAAATATTGCTAAATTGCATATAAGAATATTCGATTCCTGGTACTTGCAGCCTCAAAAATAATTATTTACGAATAATTAAATATAAGAATTATTTCCAAGACCACTGATGAAGGGTATTTGGCAATACTCGAAACAGCTGTATGGTCAGCCAAAAATTCAATTAATTAAAATAATTTAAAAAAAAAAAAAAATTTTTGTTGTTGTTTCACTTCTGTTCGAAAATCTCTTTATATAAGAATATTTAAAAAAAAAAATTACAATTTACTTCTGGGAGTAAGTTATCTAATGTCTAGAATAATGCGATAGTAGAAGAAATTAAAATAACGATAGTAGAGTAAGTTATGTAGTTAAAAGTTATTAATAATAATTATTTGTTAAACTAGTACATTGTAATAGGTTAAATAACCGTTTGGATTTACACATTTAAGCTATTTTTTATCAAACTTTATACACTTACAACGCCTATTTCAGTTTCACTATGCCCAAAAAACACGAACTGAGCAGGCTGTCGTAGGAGTAGACATGCTACCTGGGCAATAATCACAACGACATATATTTCTATAACTAACTTACTTTCATTCAACTCAAATGTTTGTTCTATATGAACTGATGGCATATCTGTCAGAAAATCGTAGCCTGTCATCGGTGTAAAAATACGGTTTGCATTTTGCTCCACTGTAGATATCGGTAGTGGAATACGTGGAACTCCTTTAAGAAATATAGGTTTTATCAATCTAAAATAAATTATATGTATACAATTTATTCATTACTAACCTTGCGTTGGCCTAGGCTGTGAAGTAATATTTGTTGGGCCATTGAAAACTAAAAATACCATAAAGAAAATATATTATATTAAAAACAGTCATTATAAACATTTTTATTAAAAATATTTCTTTCAATATATCTACAAATGTTGAAAATAGATTACAATAACAATGAAAATAACAAAATATTTAAATGCGATAAGATATTATTCAGTGTTAAGCAGATATATAATAAATTTAGCAAAATTACGTGTAGTTTGTAATTATAACGCTTTTAACCCGAGATGACCTAAAATATATCAATCCATATAGATATACGATTGAATATATTAAAAAATATATTATCAATTTGTATGAGTCATACTTTTTTGTTATCAATTTTAAATAATTTTTATATTGTTTTAATAATTTTTTTTAAATTGGTGTACCTCTCGGTTCTGTTGGAGATTGTTGAGCTGCTCGTATTTCACTGTCAAAATGTAATTTTCTCACAGGATCGTTTTGCAACATAGTGCAATACAATTAATAACTTTTTCTTTTGTAAAAAAATATTTCACAATGTTAATTTTTAAAATATATCTGTCCGTAACAAATAGTTCAACTGCAACGAAACAGTTTAACCCAAAAACTGATAAGTAATATCAGTTAACAAATATTGATTACCCTTTACAAAAGCTTTATTCCCTGATATAGTCTTTGCGTTATCGGCTGTTCTTTTGTTATTGACTTATACGAAATGATAAATTTAATCAAATATACTACATAGAAATAAATTAAACAATTATTATTTAAAAAACAAATCTATACCTGTGCAGGTATGAAATCTATTAAAACTATAAACATACATTTTAAATATAAGATAAGTATAGTATTTATTACTACATAAATACGCCTTTAAATTTCCAGTGAAATCAATATAGTCAATATAGTGAAATCAATATATTGGATTAAGGAGATAAGTCTACGTTTTTATAATATGTGTACAATTTAACAAACAAACAAAATGAATTGTTGGATTTTTTGACTAATAGGTTTTTAAGAATTTATTCTAAGATCTTGAGATAGTTCCATCTACTGTTTGTATGATCCATTTGATTTTTTCTTTGGTTCAAATTTTTAAAGATTTGTAAGCATAGACTCATTTAAATTTAATTTATGTTAATATTTTTAAAGATCTGTTGGATCTGTGTTTGAAATAACTTTTTAAAGGCTTATGGTAAGTTTTAAACTCTTCGACAGATTTTGTAAAAAATATAAGTTTTTGTAAATCACAATAAATTTCAAATAAACATTAAAACCAATTGTGTACAAAAATCCTACAGCTAATGTAATATATAATATAAAATATATAATTTCTTGTCAAAAATCAATTTTATTTAAAAGAACTGATGTATCTAACAAAATGTTTTTTTGTTAATTACTTAAAGAAATTTAGTTTAATGTGAAATAATAACAAAATGTGGTGTTAAATTATATTATAGAATTTATTTCAAATAAACACAAGCGCTTCTTGTTTTTCCCTTGTTTCAATATTCGCTAATTCTGCGTTTACACTGGCTATAATTTGAAAACATTTTTGCATCACTCTCAGTTTTTCACTACACATGCAAATTTTTGTTTGCAAACAAAATTCGAAAATAATACGTATTTGCATTCGAACATAAGAATCTTGCTAAAGTCTAGTCAGTGTACATATATTTAGAATTTAATAATTCTAAATATTAAATGGTAAACATTTCAACATTCGGTAAAAATTGCTGACTCTCGTAAGATAAATGAAGTCTAAACCTATAAAAACTCAAAGTCTGTTGTGATAGACAAGCTTAAATGTTTTTAAAGTGTTCAGTATAGTATTCATAAATTCTTGAATGCGAATATTTGAGATAAATAGTAAATTTTTTTTTACGTACTATTATACATAGAAAAATATTATTGTTAAATAAATTTCATATTAAACTATTTAATCTCCAACTGCTAATAGTTTTTGTCTATATATATATGGTTTGCAAAATGTGTACGTTCTAAGGAATATTGGCAACTCTGAACTATATTTTATTTGACGTTTCAAATCGAAAACAAAAATATCAAGAATAGCAGAAATTTCTTCAAATGAGAGTATTTTTCGAAGCGCAGACGCATAAATGGCATTTAAATAACAACAAAGATATTAACAATTAAATAGGCTATATTGTTTAATTGGATGATAACTGAATTTGATACTTTTGTGCAATGCTAGTTAATTGTTTTATTAAAAGCAACGTGTTGTTTACATTCACGTCCGCATAAGATATTATATTGTAAGTATAAAATTCAACTAAGAATATATAATCAAATATGTGTGGGTCCACGGGTCCAAAACTGACGATAGGTGGGGAGGCGATATTATAAGCATATTGAGTATTTATTATAGAAGTTTTATATTAGTTTATATGTGGAGAGCAAGTAGTACGAATGTAAAGCGGAAGTGTATTAATTATAAATCAAATAAAAGGACGGTTTTATTTTTAATACATAAAGCATTTATAGATTATAAAATATAATGCATACATAAACGGTTTTTTTTAAATCGTTTACAATAAATGTTTTTTATATATTAAAAAAGATTCTTTGCTATTGAACAGTTTGCTCCAAAATTTTGGGGGTTGAATTTTTGAAAATCTACGTCTTAATTACTTTAAAGAAGAAGAAAAAATCCATAAAAGTTTCATGACTAAAATTTCATCAAAATATTAAAAATTTATTTTTTATCAAAACTAAAAATTGGAAACGTTTTTAACATTTAATTGAATATCAAGTCCAGTGAAACCATTTGGTTTATAGTGGGTCATGTCTTTGGAGGATCCATTTTTTGTTGTAAAAGAGTGCGTATTTTCAATGTTTACATAGAATTAAATAATAAATAGCCGCTTTCATGATTGAATAATTATATTTTATTTATTTTGAACACAAAATTTAGCGAAGTTTTCAAGGCTTTAAATAAAACGCGAGGACTCTACCTGCGTTGGCGTGAATTAGGAGAAAGTAATCAAAGTGCCGAAATCGAATGGACAACAACTGAACTACGTAATGCTTTACGGTCCATCGAATGGGACCTTGAAGATCTTGAAGATACTATTAATATCCTTTACAAATTTATATAGCAACAATATGTAATAGAAATACTGAAAGCGATTTTTTTAAAATATATTTCTAGTTACTTTTTTCGTGAAGTGTTGTGAAAAATCAATTTTAGTTTTTTTATTTTAATTGCACAATTTTTTGTCGCCGAACTGTATAAATTTAATTTTAATTTATTGGTAGCCTTAATGATATTTTACATTAATTGTTTAAATTTAAAACACATAAAGTAAAAAATACTATAATTTTAGTAATTGATAAGTTAGTTAAAATATAAATATTTACTTTTTTTTTTGTAATATAAAAAAAAAAAGAATAGCAAATATTCTACTAAAATCCCGTTTTTATATTTAATTTGTTTTTCATCTATACATATAGTATATTTTCTATTACGATAACAAATCTTTTACAGCACTTCAAAATAATGATAAGATATACTTAACTCATAATCGTTTAATTCCGATACGCATTGTCGAAAAGAACCCTAACAAATTCCGTATTGATAATAGAGAACTTTCAAGTCGCAGACACTTCATCGATAGCACTCGCGATGAAGTTAAACAGATGAAAGAAAAGATGAGCCTGAATCGGAGCAGGGACAGAGATATTACAGCACATCAACCTTTATTAGATGAACATAATCACAACCATCATCATCATCATACAAGCAACGATAAAACCCATTTAGTCGATTGTAATAACGGCAATATCGTTAATAACGTCGGGCTTCTTCAATCAAACTCTATAATAAACGGAGGTGGCAGTGTTGCCAGTACAATTGCAGGAACAATGGCAGCTGCATCGACACGTCATAGTAGCACAAAATATTCCAAATTAGAAAATGCGCTTGATAGTCCCGGACACTATGCAAATTTAGATAGTCCTGGACATCGTTTCGTTGGAGAAACAGTTGCAATACAACAACATATGATGCAAGGACAGGATGAGCAATTGGATATGATAAGTGATTCTATTGGAACGTTAAAGACTGTGTCTCGACAAATTGGTGTGGAATTGGATGAGCAAGCTGTGTAAGTAAAAACTAACTATAAATTTTGCTTAAAATAATTAATTATATATGAAAAAGATTATACTTACAGTAATTATAATTAAATTTAAAAAAAAATTGATACTTGCAGTCTTAAAAAATTATTTACGAATAATGAATAAAAGAAGAAATTTCAAGACCACTGATGATGAGTATTTGGTATTAATCGAAATTTTTGTTGTTGCAATTTCACTACTATTCGATAAAAATTTCTCTATTGAAAACAATAGTTTATATAAAGAATTTAGTTTGTTTCGTTAAGGCGGACGTTTAAAAACAATTTAATATAAGCTTATTAAATTTTAAAAAACAAATTTATATAATTCTTTGGAGTTCAGTTCAGTTTTAAATATACGTTTTCGGTTTAAAATTTTACATAAGAAAATACTATTAGTTTTTCTTATTATATTTACAATCTTAACTGAACTAAATCTGAACTCAATTTATAAATTTTATTTATAAAATCAATATATAAAGTGAATTATAATAAAATACTAACAAAAAGCGTTGTATATAATAGTTTAAAAAGTCTAAACTGTCTATGTTATGTTTCAGTATTAAATTTCTATCATTTCCTTATTTATTTTTATTAAACGATTTTAAATTATTTTATTGCAATTTAAAAAAGAATATAATTATAATTATTTTACAGTATGTTAGATGATTTCGGCAACGAATTCGACACAACTGAATCTAAATTAGATTCTACCATGAAAAAGATGGCTAAAGTGTTTCACATGAATAATGGTAAGAATGTATAAATAAATTATTTTTAAAATAAAATATATAATTAAACATTTTCGTTTTCGTCTTCGTTTTAGATAAACGTCAATGGGCAGCAATTTTAATACTTTCGATACTTCTTTTAATTGTGATAATATTATACATCATTTTGTAAACAAAATTAAGTTTCGTATTCCTTGCTACTTTAAAAAAATTGATTTTAGCTTTTAAAATGTTAGTTTCTAGTTCTTAATTTATTATAACACATACGATAAAAAAATCAATTATATTTTATAATTTATTTTATTGACTTCTATAATATTGTCAAAAAATTAAAAAATGTCCGCAAAAAAAAAAATATATATCTTATAAAAAAGTTGAAACTTCTTTTTATAAATGTATATATTTATTTATATAGAAATCTATTTATAGAGTTGTTTTGTGCATTTTTATTTAGTCATTTAAATTACCAAATATATATTTATTAATACAAAAGGAAAATATATTCAAATGAAATGTACGCATAGAAACTTATATATACAATTTTAATATTTGTAAATCTCCAGTTCAAAAATTCGTAATGTCGCATATAAAATATTTAAATATGTTGAATATAGTGTATATCGCATATGAAGAATTTCTTGAATATATCAAATATATATATATATATACATATAAAACAAAGTATGTAGAATTGAATAGGTAAAAATTTTAAATTCATTTAACGAATAATTATATGTATATTATAGTCAAAAAATAATAAACGAATATACAACAAAAGTTTGTTTTATTTAAATATTACGCAGTGAAATCTTGAAATTTAGTCATTTAGTTCATTTAATCCACTTTCTGCATAACTAAATTAACAATCTTATTTACTTATTTATATAAGAACTCCATCTGTAGAAATATAACGTAATCTAAAGAGGAATTTGGAACGACGAACTTTAGAAAAATTCGTTGTCCAATCAAAATAGTGCGCCCATTATTAAGTGTGTTGTTGTTGTTGTAACCCACTGGGACCTGCAAGCAGATAACATGAAAGGATATACACGAGACTATTACAAAGGTGGAGTAGAAGTTGGGGGGAATGAGAATAAGGGGATTAGGTGTCTTCCTATACTTTTGCCAACAAAAACTTTAAATGAAGTGTAAAAAATGAAAAACTGATTTATATGATTATATATATATAATTATATGTAGATGTATAGGAACGCGAAATCAGTAAACATTTGAAAAACAAAGGAAAGTTAAAAACATCTGTTATTTCAATTATATTAATCAATTTAGTGAAATAAGCTCACAAGTAACAAATTACTACTTTTTAATTAAAGCAGTTATTGAATCTAGTCTGCACTTTATATAATTTTTCAGTTTAATTTTCAACTGAGAATGAATTGCAAATTCAATATTATTATCTATTATTTGCTTTAAAATTTTAACCAACAAAGACAAGAAGCTTACCTTAACCTATCTTTATTTCGCATTTTATTGCAGTGCTCTCTGTTATAAGTTTTTACTGGTCTTTTGGAAACGCGAAACTAGTAAAAATTGTTGCAAATTTTAAATATGGTCACCTAACAATGTTATGATGTTCATACTATGCTTATCTTCTTCTTATTTAGCACTGCAGTGCACCTTAGTCTCCTTCACAAACTGCCTCCATCTGTATCGATCTTCTGCAGTTCTTTTTCAGTTCAAAACTCCGAGCTTTCTGGCGTCCTAGTAAATGTTTTCTTTCCATCTCAGCTTCGGTCTGCCTTTATGTTGTCATCGAATTGGCATGAAATATATTAGCCGAAATTTCTTTCGGGTCCAATTTTTACAACGTGAGGTGCCCATTGCAGTCTTTGTGCTTTGAGAAATTTTACTACATTTTCATTTTTAAGGTGATCTTCAATTTCGTTGTTTGTTCGTCTTTTGAATGTCTCGTCTTCCATTCGAATAGGTCCATATACTATACTCATACTATTATATATAACAATATTAATATCAAAAATCAAGAATTTCATATAAATCTTTTTGATTTCAACTTTGTTTGTTGTCGAAATCAAGAATAAGTCCAAATTTCAGTTGATATTAATAACAAAACTTTCGAGAGAATGCAGTATAAAGCATATTTGAAAACATTTAATTCTATAATATAATAAAATTTAGTTCCACTTTTAATATGAAATCATTTAAAAAACTTTAGCTAAAAGCACATTTATTTTTTAATAGTCATGTGATAATTAAGGATTTATATATTTTTTAAAAACAAAGTAAAAATAAATCTGCTAATCAAAATAGATTTCCAACAGATCATTTACAAATACACATTTTTTTAAATTATAGTTCAATTCAGATAATATATGAGAGAATCATATTGAAAAGCAAATTTCTAATAAAAATAAATTATATTTTATTTCGTTATTTTGTTATTAACGAAATTTTTGCAAAAATTGCTTATTGGGCTCTGTGCAAGTTCGAGTAAATTGAGGGAAGTAGTAAATTATGTCGGTATGGCAGCAATGTTGGTATTTACTAAAATTTCAAGTAGAGTAAATTAGATAAAAATCATTTGCACAATGGTGTTACCAAATTACCAAATTTTATTAGATGTTTAATAAATAAATAAATAAATTTAAAAACTTTTAACCAAAAATAATAAATAAGTGCAAGAATTAAACAAATAAATATTTACATTAGTACAGTGCAAAAAATCCCTAGGAAATTTCCATTTACTTTACCTCAATTTACTCAAACTCCCACACGGCTTAAAATGTAAACAAAACTCTACAACTAGAAATTTTAAAAGCTTCTACCCATTCCCTATATAGCTTGTGCTAATATAAACGACAAAAAGCTCCATGTTACTAATTAACTTTGTAAGTAAGTAGTAGAAACGTAGTATAACGTTATTTCCGCAAAAATTGTTTATTTAATTTCGATAAATGTGAGGTGTGAATACAATACAAAACTTAGCTGAACAAATATTTTTTTACTAAGTCTGGCATCTCTTCATCGTGGAAAATATTTCGTTTCAAAAGAAGGCGCAATTACTAGAGTTTATTATTAAATGGTTTTGAACTTAAAGCAAATTTGGTTTATTCCTTGTTGGAAAGAATTGTAGCCGAGTGAGGATAAATTTGATTATAAATAATATTTGATTATAAATATCACATGCGAATCGTTTTTAACATAGCAAAAAATACCTATGCAAGGTAAGTAAGAAAGTAATCAATTAGATTTTATTTAATAAATTAAATTATTTCTAGACTTGTATTTATGAAAATAATGAAGCGAACAAAATCATCTAATACCACGAAACCACAAAAAAAGACTAAGTTACTCAATAGTACCGAAACTTCGGTAAAAACAATAACAACAGAGGACGCAACAACATCCAAATCGAACATAACAGATTTTGCCGTCGCAGTGCAAGAACAAAGATTATTGACGGCAGAAAATATAATTGAATTCCCATTTAAGAAAAAAAGAGTACGTATTTTAACAACAGTTGAAGAAGTTAAAGAACATACTACTGGTGGAATTCTTTATTGGATGTCAAGAGATGCACGGGTTCAAGACAATTGGGCTTTGTTATTTGCACAAAAATTGGCACTTAAAATGCAATTACCACTAATTGTGGCATTTTGTTTGGTACCAAAATTTTTAAACGCGACTATAAGACATTATAAATTTATGCTAGGGGGTTTAGAGGAAGTAGAAAAAGATTTGCAAGAGCTTAATATACCGTTTTATTTATTACTTGGACCCGCAGCGGAACATATACCAAAATTTGTAAAGGAATTTGATATCGGTGCTGTGGTTTGCGACTTTGCACCATTGCGTGTACCGCGAAAGTGGATAGATGATGTTAAAAATTTATTACCTAAGGATATTCCATTAACTCAAGTTGATGCACATAATATAGTTCCAGTGTGGATAGCTTCTGATAAACAAGAGTACGCAGCGCGAACTATACGTAACAAAATAAATTCTAAACTTGGTGAATACTTAACAGAATTTCCACCAATCGTTAAGCATCCTTATGATGTCAAACAAAAACGCACCACAATTGATTGGAAAGATGCATATGCCTCCTTGAAATGTGATATGTCCGTAGATGCTGTAGATTGGGCTAAGCCAGGATATAAAGCAGCTTTAAGACAATTGCAGGAATTTTGCACTAAACGATTACGCATTTTTAATGACAAACGTAATGACCCAACCCTAAATGCACTTTCAGGATTATCACCATGGTTTCATTTTGGTAAACTAGAAGTATAACGACAAATTAGTGTTAGAACATAATTGATGTTTTATTTATTAGGTCACATATCAGTTCAACGCTGCATATTAGAAGTAAAACGGTACTCTGCTCAGCATAAGGCTTCAGTTGATGCTTTTTGCGAAGAAGCTATTGTACGCAGAGAATTAGCTGATAACTTTTGTTATTATAATGATAACTACGATAATATAAAGGGATTACATGAATGGGCACGTAAAAGTCTTGATGAACATCGTAAAGACAAGCGGAGTTCACTATATACTTTATTGGAATTTGAGCAGGCTCGTACGCATGATGACTTATGGAACTCTGCACAGTTACAATTAATCAATGAAGGCAAAATGCACGGTTTTCTACGAATGTATTGGGCTAAAAAAATACTTGAATGGACAGAAACTCCTGAACAAGCCCTGGAATTCGCAATATTGTTGAACGACAAATATAGTCTAGATGGACGCGACCCCAATGGCTATGTTGGTATGTGTTAAATATTTTGTAAAATATGTTGGAATTCAATTATATTATAATTTTAGGATGTATGTGGTCTATTGGTGGTGTGCATGATCAAGGATGGGCGGAACGGCCAATTTTTGGTAAAATACGTTATATGAATTATCAAGGCTGCAAACGTAAATTTGATCTAAAGGCCTATGTCGCGCGCTATGGTGGCAAAATTCATACAAAAAGCACATAAAATAAAAACTGCAAAACAAAATTTTAGATGCGTAATAATATATTGAAAATATTAAATCTTTGCGTATTTGTTTTTGCAGACACATTTATTAAAAATTATAAATTTTACTTTAGACCACTGAAACTAATAAAGTTTGAAACTTTAATATATATACTTTTTGTTTTAATCTTTCTCTGCTATTTTTGTTAGGTGATCCTCAATTTCTTTTTCATCCAATGTTCTGAATTGTGGATTGTCCTTGCTTATTACACCGATTTCAATACCATTTGGTTTAAAATCAACTGCTAAAACATTAGAGAGACACATAATTGCCAATTGAATCGTTTTTTCTTCAGAAAGGTTATTTTTGTATTTCTTCTCTAAATAACTATTTGCCTCAACCTGCTTCACACCAACGGAGACCGCACGGAAACCGCAAAAGTAACCCGCAGGATCAGTTTTAAAAACTGCAGGTCCTTTTTCTTCATCATAACCAATGACAATCATACCTATATAAACAAAAGTTTTTAATTTTTTAAACTATAAAAAATTTTTAACGAATCACTTACTGCAGCCTAGTGGACGCATTTCGGCATTTTGAGTGTAAACTTGATTCATATCAGCCACACGTCTGCAAACCACATCAACCGGCATTTCATGCCCATATTTATAACGCCAGTGAGCAGCTTCATGACGAGCCTTTTGTACCTGCGAACGGCTGTCAGCTGTAAAAAAAAAAATGGAATAACACTAAATCGTGCATCGTTTAGCTGAAAGCATACCTATGCGTCCTGTCATCACACAACCAATTTTACTGGTAATTTTAAATATATGTGTAACAGTTTTTGGATCAATCAATTTATCGGTAACCTTCTTTTGTGTTGCTATTACAGCACAGTCACCACTCTTTAGAGCCACTGATGTAATACCCTCTTGGTTAATAGCTTTGAAGGCATATTCTAAAATTTTCAAAATATATAATATCAAGTTATTTCTACCTTATTACTCTCAAATATAGCAAAATAAATTTTTAAATTAAATAAGTGTAAGAAATATAACACCAAGAATTTGTATTCTCGAATGTATTGTTTCTTACCAACTTGATAGAGACGACCCTCTGGTGAAAAAATAGTAATATGACGATCAAAGCCGGCTGAACTTCCACGTGACATATTTGCTGATTTTCAGTTGTATAATAATATACTTCGATATAATTACGTTATATTATAATTAAAATATTAAGAAATTTGTTATAAACTGACTTTATGTCCGGTATGTGCACAAACAAATGATATTTAAAAGCATCAAATTCACACAGTCATTCCATGAAATGTCACACACAGCTTTTCAGTGATGCCAATACTTCCACTTTTTGACTTTTGCGTGAGAATTTACTTAAATCACCAGAGAATATATTCTAGGA